TTGGCACTTGGTTGTAATTATTTACTAACAGAAGAGGATATCTTTATAATATTGTAGCTAACTTTGAGAAGCAGGTTAAAGCCCCTGTCACACCTTGACGATTTAGACAGCGTATGCCTGATGTACGAAAAATCTGGCAAAATCGCTGGCAGATGTTGGATAAGTTATGGGTGCGCTTTGTATAAGTTATGAGCACACTGAAGCACGCTGGCACACGTCGACATACGGCAAGTACGTTGAGAAATTTTGAGCATGCTCAAGACTTCCCGACGTATGCCAGCGTATGCCATAATTTACAGCTAAGTGTAAGTTACTCATAAGTCATGGTGTCCAGCTTATCCAAAACCTATGAGTAACTTATGCATAACTTATCAAGAACTGATCTCCAACGCATATCGATGTATGCAGGTATATTTGAAGTGTTCCAGACGACAGCTGAACGTGTTTCTAACTTACGGTTACTGTATAATGGCGTATTGGCAGCGTTTTGGTATGAAAGGGGGTTCACTGGATGAAACCTTCAGTATTCCTCTTGACTTTATCACCATCATAGGTGAGCAAGAAGGTGAGTGTGATTGATCCTCCCTGCGTTCACGCCCTCTTTCTTTCTTTTTCTTTTTATTTATTAATTTTTTTGGGGAGAGCGGTAAACAGTAGCTAGATTAATACCGCGATCAAAGACATCTTTTTATGCAGGCCGGGTGCCTCTGGGTGCATTGCTGCTCCCCTCAGGACACTGGCTTGTGACATTTCATGGGAATTACACTGCCGTGCATTATGCATAAGTTAGGCTGTCCTTGCACATAAGTTCTAAACTCGTTATGAATATGCTATGTATACGCCCAAAATTAAAAAAATACTTAGAAAGTTCAGCGTATGCCAGCGTTTTGGGAGATTCCGGGACGTCAGGCATACGCTGGCTAAATCGTCAAGGCGTGACAGCACCCTAAAATGTCTCAAGACTGAGAGAGTGTTTGCTGGCTAAGAGTTTAGAAGAAAAAAAGAGAAACACTGCAATCAATCCTTCAAACATTTAGAAAATCAGAGAAAAACCCAAGATAATGAGTAGGCATGAATAAACTATAAAACTAAAGGAGGTGCAGCATGTTTAGAAACATACTGTCAGGGAAGGCAGACACAGCATAAAATTGAGGGGAATTACAACTTTGTAGCATTAAAACTGTGGTCAACAATTGTGTAGCCTGAGGATAGAAATTCCAACTCAATTTCCCAAGATTGTGATTCTGATACAGTCATGCTGAACTAAAAGATATGCTTCTGCAGAGATTTTATTGTTCTACTGTGCAACACAAGGGCTCCAGTGTGCTGGCAGGCCGTGTGCAATCAGAAATATACACTTTTATTTATTTTTTTTTGTTTATTTTTTATTTTTTTTACTGCAATAGGTTCTAAACCCATTTCCCCCTCCCAACTCATTTCACCACCGCGGCTGCTGCTTTAATGGAGCAGGAGGTTAGAGAGCAGAGACGGTTATTTCCTGTGATGAGTCTTCTTTTAGCTCTTTGCTGCTCTCTTGCAGAGAAGAAACCATGGGATATCTCCCTCTGCCAGATTACAGACACAGCCTCTTTACTCTTCACAGCTTAATTTTATTCCTCACAGTCTGCGTACGAGCGCCACCTGCTCCATCTCGCCACTTGTTCTTGTCTCTTCAAATCCCTCGTGCACAATCTCCTCACTTCTCCTTCTTTGACAGCCGCCCGCTAATCCGTCTCTACCTTCTTTACAAAAGCTGCCGCTCATCTGTTCGGCTCTTTTCGCCGTTCATCAGGTTATGCCTGACTAGGGGCATTTGATATCTTCCCTCTCTTCTTACTGAAGTCTTCACTGTGATCAATGGATGACAAAATTTGATCTGCAGTGCAGACAGTAATGCACTTTCCTCTGGATTTTTCTTAACAAACTTTTAACTCTTTAGCAGTGAAGTAGCTTTAAACTAATTATTATTGCCTTATTTCATATCTTTTTGCTACATTTTATTCTTTTAGTGTGTTTTATTATTTGATGATGTTCAGTACTTAGTTTTCAACTTTTAGCTGTTTTAAAACACTCCAAAAATAAAATTGATTATGATGATGATTGTGATAAATGAAACTGCCATAGCATGCAGCATTTATCTGATGTCGTTCCCGTTGCACAGGGTCAGCTTCCTTTAATTTTAATCCATCTCATTGTTTGACAACATTGATCTGTTCTATGTTTTATACAAAACAGAGATATTGGGTTTAACACCTATGAGATAAAAAATGTTTTGTTTTTTTTGTCCAAGTTGGGAAATTTAATTGTTGACTATCGTAACGACGTGGTATTTCACCCATACCGCAATTTTATTGCAGGTAATTAGACATCGTAGCAGGAGAATGAAATGTCACTCTAGCTGTTCTCCTGCTTATTAAAGTTATATTTGTTTATACAAAAAAAACACAACTGAGTCTTGCTCCATGTGTAAAAAAGCTTGTTATATTTACCTTAACAGTATTCCATGTTTTACCGTAATGCAAACCAGGTTTGAATCCTAGTTGCTTCAGGAACAACATAATGTAGAAACTAGTCTGAGCTCGCCATAATGACTTGCCTTGTTGATCCCCGAGTAGGGAGCAGCAGAGAGAATCCAAACAGTTATCTTATTGTCATTTCAGTATTCATTCTTACCACTTCGTATTAGCATCACGCTTAAAGGAATAGTACACCCAAAACATGATTAGCCTTCATTTTCTACTCACCCCCATGCTGAACAACACTCTGGAGTACTTTTTTGATATCTCAAATGCATCTGGAGATCTGGGAGGCTTCTTGCTGTCTGCTGACATTCAAATAATGGAGGTCTATGGTGCCCGAGGCAGAAAGGTCCATAAAAGTCCACAAAAAACGTGTCAATATTCCTCCATACTGCTCGTCCAATGTATTCCAAGTGTCCTGAGTGGGTAGCGTCCATAATTTACTCGAAACGAAGTCATTTAGAATGTTTTTAGAGCATAAACAGTAGTGTATAGGATTTCCTAAAAGCGCGTTCACGAGTCTACGGAAACCGCGGCAGACCAAACCAGATGAAAGTGCGCATTCAGCTCGGCAACACTGAAGTCCTGAGACATTTTTCTTTCGTTGTTTCTTTCTTTGCACAGGTAAACAGCACATTTCTTCTTCTACGCTTGCATTATCGGCAGAGCAGACGCTGAATAATGTTATCCTGGTATCATGCTGAATGCTACATTTTATTCCAGCTCAATGCTTAACGCTACGTTTATGTTAGTATCATGTTTATAGTGTTTGCTAAATGCTTTGGGTATGTAAGAATCGTTCTAAATCGTGTGTGTGTGTGAAAATAGAGGCCTGGGGGCCGACTCTGCAAGATATTTAGTCCTCCAAGAGCCAAACAATGAATATATTTTAAAGAATAGAGGCATATGCTGTTTAAAGTATACAAAGTGGCTTAAATAGCTAAATAAATAGGAATCAATTGTGTAAATATCGATATGCACAGACCGCAGTTACTTACGGGCCCACAACCTCCGTCACTGACACCTGTTGGGGCCCCTACTCAATTATAGACTAGGATGTTTCTTTGTAGATGTACTGGTGTGTAAAGTTCCTCTTAAACCCACCTGATAATGAAGTGAGTGACCGCAACGGAAAAAATACACCCATATAATATGTTTGAAACCGCAATAAAGATCTTAAAAGAATGATGTACTTGAGTATTTTATTTTTTACACTACAACTTGGAATTATGGGTAATCCAGAGCATAGATTAAAATCAGAACTGTTGCATACAATGTTTGCGACGATGGATACCAAAAAGTGGTACTGATTCCAGAAAAGAAAAGGGAAAAAAGAGCTGCTGGGAGAACAGAAAAAAAAACAATAAGCATCTCCCAGAAATGAGTTTTTGGAACTTGGGATGTATGTCATATGTGGTGGTGCGCTGTCACCAATGGTTCCATTCAAGGTGCGCAATCACTATTTTTCTGTGTGTGATGTGTGATCATATACTACTGAGAGTTGCATAATTGTATCTTCTTGGCTGATTTATGGAACAGTCGCCGTATCCTGAACCTTTATCACGTGTTGTACTTTATATGGGGCCCACCCAGATAATGTTGCTTATTGCTGTGTCGTTACGCCATTGATAGAAGTAAAGCTATAATATCAGAGCAGTGTTGTTTTTGCTGAAAATAATTTAATCAAAAGTTTAATTTAATAATAATTGACCTTTATTGATCTCACATTAGAGACATTCCCCTCTGCATTTAACCCATTCCCAAGTGGAGCAGTGGGCTGCCACCTTGGGGTGCCCGTGGAGCAATCCCACAGAATGCCCTAGAGTGGTAGTCTGTGGGAGTGGGGCTCGAACCCAGAACCTCCCCCAGATTCCAACCTCTATGCCCTAACCACTAGGCCACCACACATTATATAGCAACAATATTTTTTGTCTTTTTTTTGTTTTTAAAGACATTTGTGCCATTATTGCCCCTGTGCTACACTTATGTACATTTATACTAAACGTTTCCTTAAATGGAAGAAAAATATTGCATGATAGATATATTGTGTCATAAATGCTACATTTCATGCAGTGGCACCACCATGGGCCACTGCATGAAATGCAGTGCCCTGACCACCCCATTCGCCAGGGTAAATTGTAGTACCATCAGTTTAGCTTTTCATCCCACTATGTACAGGCAGCAATAAAAATCACACAATACACCAAGATATGAGTAGGGGATTACTTAAGATTTTATGATTTCTACAGGCACATTTACCACAATAGTGGATTCAAACCATGAAATTGTGGCCTTTGATTTCAGTGTGCCACTTCCAAGATTTTTAGTGGTCCCATCTGGCCACCCCTATGAAACAGTTATGTAGGCGCCACTGATTTCAACCTAATATCATGCTGATTGCTGCACTCCTGTTATTACGAGGCTAAAAGCTGCATTTATTGCTGAATTATGCTAAGAGCTCCTTCCCTCTGCCCTCTACAGGTCAGCCAAGGAAATGTCCCTGGCGTGGAGAGTGCCTCCTTGGCCATGGATACAGAAGAAGGCGTGGAGGTGGTGTGGAACGAAGTTCTCTTTTCAGACAAAAAAGTCTTCAAAGCACAGGAGGTACTATAACACCGGCTGAGTTTTTAGAAATGTTCTTACATTTAATAGCTAGGTTTTAGTATTTTTCTTTTAAAAAATAAAACTTAGATTAAGGAGAAATGATGTTTTGTATCCCCAAAGGATCGCCTGAAACGCTTTATTATTAAAAGCTCAGAGGAGCTTTTCTTTAGTTAATAACTGAACATGAGAATTTTAAACTTAACATACGTTTTGTTTTGTTTTTTCTTCATACATTCAGGAGCAAATCAAAGAAATGTTTGAGAACTTGATGCAGGTCGAACACCCCAACATCGTTAAGTTCCACAAGTACTGGCTCGACATGAAGGAGACCCAGGCTCGGGTGAGAAGTCGTGTTTTTTCTTTTCCCACCTCTACTACAGTTTGGAGCTGACTTATTTTGTCCTTTTCCATATTTGACTCTCAGGTGATATTCATCACTGAATACATGTCTTCAGGGAGCCTCAAGCAGTTCCTGAAGAAGACTAAAAAGAATCACAAGACCATGAATGTAAAGGTTAGAATATTCAGTGTGGTCACATCCTCAGTCTTAGAGATGAGGTAACTTAGAGTGTGCCATATCTGTATCTGTTTAGCTCCATATTTTCCTAAAGAATTAGTAAACACAGTTTACAATTTTTTTGGATAATTTTTTTGGATGGTTTGAATTATTCAGAAACCCTTTCTTCCCTTTTGTCTTACTGTGTGTTCATCAAGCTTCCTTTATTATATCATGTGATAATAAAAGAGTGTATTAAGAGGATCTGTTTTTGTGGAGGAAGTAATTTATCGTTATCTCTCAGGCCTGGAAGCGATGGTGTACCCAGATTCTGTCAGCGCTTAGGTACTGTAATTTCCTACAGGGCAATTGATATGATGAATGTCTGTTTTTACACCTCTAACAGACATCTGCATTTTTCTGTCAGTTATCTCCACTCCTGTGACCCACCAATAATCCATGGTAACCTCACCTGTGACACAATCTTCATCCAGCACAACGGCCTTATCAAGATCGGCTCAGGTCTGCACCCAGCAGGGCTTCTTCTGACACTGCAACCTGTTTATTTCCCTTCAGGAGACACATTTAACATTCTTCATTTTTATTTCTACAGTGTGGCACCGGCTCTTTGTTAATGGTAATGTACAAAATTCTGTGTTTTTTTTTTTCTCCAACTCATAGATGTTTTATATTTTTCCCTCTATTTTATCTAAAACTGCATTGGATGGCTTTTCCTTCCAGTGTTCCCAGATGCCAGCGTCCACAGCAAAGGAAGGCAACACCGGGATGAGCAGAGGAATCTTCATTTTTTTGCCCCTGAGTATGGAGGTGAGCCTGCTGAATGATTCTTGTTTATTTTATTTTTTTTACTTTGCCTTTTTTATTTGTGTATTTTATTTTATTTTTTTCTTTTCAATTAAATTGTGTGTTTTAAAATATCTCATGGTTTCCAGTTTTTCAGTTTAAGAATTAGAAAATTTTGCAAAGAAAAAAAGCAACAAAAAAAACCCCAACATGTTGTGATTGGTTTGTCTCTACTTGTTTAGGCTCTATGTGCCAAAAGCAGCTGACAGAATTCCTTAAAGTATAGACTTCAGATCTGGATAGAAAATACCAAATAGATAAAAGATTGTCCCTTTTTCATCCAATTTTTATCTTCGGGTTCAGGTTAAATCCACAAAGCCAGAACTTGGTACAAATGTCTGTAATAAACTAGCTGTAAATTTTTGAATTTAGACAATAGAGATGGGGCAAAAAGGATGAAAACTTTGAAAACATTTAGAAAAGTTTGGAATACCAGCCTGGTAGAAGTCTAGACTTCTATATAATTACAGAATAGTGGGCAGTTCCTGGTGGATTTGCATAAGCTTAGCTCAGCAACTTTGAGGAGATTCATAAAAAGCCACATTGCATCATGAAAACATTTGTTTTTGCAGCCAAAAGTGGTTCAGTGACATATTAAGGAAGACTGGGCATGTTTTCCCTCACTTCTTCTTTAGTTTTGGCCCAGTTGTTCCGTAGTGCTAACAAAACACTCATTCGGAAAAAAAAATTTATTTTATTTTTTACAAATATCACCTGCAGTTACATATCCTGTGTTTCTGTTTATATGAGGCTTTGGTCAGCTCAGGTTTTTATCCTGTTACAGAACAAAAGCTGTTTTACACCTGATTGTGTAAACACATATTTATGCATCTGAATTGTTCCTGTTTTCATCCTTCTCTGTCTTTTTGTTATCTACCTCCAGCTGGAGAGGATGATTACTCCATAGACATTTTCTCGTTTGGCATCTGTGCTCTAGAGGTGAGATTTAAAAAAAAAAAAAAATGTTTTAATACAATCTGTGGGTGTTAAACTCTGTGTTTGAATTATCTTTTTTTGGTAACAACAGATGGCAGTACTGGAAATCCAGGGCAATGGGGATGCTGCTGTGTCCAAGGAGGCCATAGTGAATGCAGGTCAATCTCTAGAAGACCCTCTGATGAGAGTAAGTTTCAGTGCAAGTCCTAAATAGGCACAGCTCATCGAGTGAAGAAGGATAAAAAGGCAAAATACCCCATAGACATACCCATCCATGCTGGGCTGATGTGCAAAAACCTCTTTTAAATGTATAAGGTACAAAAATCTTATGTGATTTAAAACTTTATCCACCGTGAAAATTTTTCATATAATTAAACTAAAAAAACAGAAATAACTTTGGGGTAAAAATGTCAAATATAAAAAGCTTTAACTGATTAGTTGCCAAAATTAAATCAGCAGCTGCTTAAACAAACACTTTCTTTAAGAATTTCCACACATGCACCTGTAAGTGGGCATCCATGACGTCTGGTTCCCCTGCTGTTATTTAAGGGCTCCACACAAAGTAGTTATGTTAAATTACAACAGGTTTACCTTTAATTGATTAATATTTAACATCAAGCTGGCGTTTTGAAGAGTCGGTGGACGTAAATCCAGCTGTTTATAGCATAATCTGGCTGTTAATCTGAGCATGGCTCCTCCTCTGTCAGAGAGCGGTCAGGAGAGGAGCAGGCGTGGTCAGCTTTTCCAGGATTTATGACTGATATTTAATCTTTTAAATGAAAGTTTTATATCCGTCTCGTTTTAGTTTACTTTGTTTGTACCCCTTTAAAATGCATATGCAAAGTGCATTAAAATGATTTTTATTATTATTATATCCAATTCCATGGATTGATTATTCTTTAAAGAACACCCTCAAACTGACAGTAGCACAATTTACTCATTTAATTGGTGAGGACTGAAGCGATTTTGGCATTTTAACCTTTGTGCATGCATCATTTGTAGATTCCCTGCAACGACTTACTTATCCTGACTATTTTTGAAATTGCACAGAAACATTTTCCCCACATATTTTAGTCCTCATTTGGATTATTTGAAAATCAGGCCCTCGGTGTACACTAATAGATATAAGCTTTTTTAAAAGACATTAACAGAATAAAAAGTACTGAAACTTACTCAAATGCATTCATTGAAATTTGAATTCTCTCAGTCTTATTTCAATCCACAGCACTTATCTCAAGGTACTTTACAGAGACAATTAAATCAAATCAAACAGATTTGTTCGAAGTTGGTTCTAAGAATTTTCTCCTTCTGGGTGAGCATGTAGCAACAGTAGACAATTGCAATGTGTTGTTTGACTTTTCAGCAATCTGTCACACTGAACATAGAAGCAGCAACAGTGGAAAGAAAAAAATTCCCCATCGGTTAACTTGTGAAGCATAAAACCAGATGCTTCATCATTAGATTGAGCTTTTAACTTTTAAACATCAGCTAATAAACTAGCACCCTTTGAAATTAATGCAATAATCTTACATCCCAAAATATGATGGAAACAACAACAATTGGGTGGAACTGTACATTTTCCTAATTTTGTTTTTACATGTAAAGGGAAATGTGCATCAATCTGTGTCCTAAATGAGCATAAAATTATTTTGTTTTTCCCTGAGAATTAAATTGCATTCAAAACTTGTTTGGTACGAAGATCCCTAAGATGTAGACAATCATATATCCATAAATTGGTGTGTAAAGTTGTGTGCAGCTTTTGAGCTACTGGAAGACCTCACCAATGGAAGAATTGGGAGTTACCGTGCTTTCAAACATTGTACTGATCAGCTGACACATGATGACTGGTTCATCATCGGGTTCAGAGGGGAATTAATTTGGGACTCTGCACAGATCTGGCCTCAGCCCTACCAAAGGAAACCTTTGGATGAAAACTCCCTGGGCTTTTTTCCTTTAGCTGGGCTTCCTTGCAACTGGAGCTTTTTCGTTAGCCATCTACTTTAGATGATAATAACATTTCATTTATTATGATATTGCTAAAGGTCCCCCATCAGCTGCACTTTTTAGATTTTAATTACCCGAGGACTGAATTCCCAGTCAGACATAAGATTATACTCTTCTCCTTCTCCTAGACTAACACCTTTATTTCACAACCATTGAATCTCCTTTTTTTCCATTACTGAACATATTGCCAAAATTATTTACACAACTTTGTTTATTAATTTGCAGACAGCCCCTTCAGCTGCTGCGAAGTTTTCCAAATCCTTTTTTTCCCCACAAAAAACTTAGAATTTCTTCCTAGGGCCAATTTCTAGTATGAAAACGGCAAAATGTTTTATGCTTCAGGTTCCAGGATTTAAGCAAATAATTCTCAGTAACATTGGGTAATATTGCAGAGTTTTATTGAACAACTTTGTCTCTCGGTTCTGTGCAGGAGTTCACGCAGTCCTGTTTACGCCATGATGCAAACCTCCGTCCCACAGCTCACGACCTTCTGTTCCATAGAGTCCTGTTTGAGGTCCACTCCCTCAAACTGCTCGCCGCCCACTGCCTCATCAACAACCAGTGTGAGTTTTATCACCTCGGTACGCCGAGCTGCCAGGAATCCTGCTACCAGATCATCCATCTGCTTTGAAATGTTAATCTTGTCAGATGTCTTTGTATCCCTTTTTTAAAGGCTAATTGTTGAAAACCCTTTTTTTTATATATACAGATTTGCTTCCTGAGAATTGCGTGGAGGAAAAGACAAAGTCGTTTGACCCCAATGCTGTTATGGCAGAGATTAGACACAATGATAGACTTGGAGTACAGCTCAAGTATGAATAAATAACTTATTTTTTTTTTTCATTTCTGTACGGTTAATGTAACTTGACAAGTGATGCAAAACACTCACTGTGCTTCTTCCCTTTCCCCTTCCTGCCTTCAAGATATTCCCATGTTTCCCCTTTAGAGCTTGACAAGTTTCTGGAGGATGTCAAGTAAGTGAAGATTACAGTCAAAGATCTGCTTTGCATCTCCTGTTACCTGTTATTTCAAACTGACATCTTTTCTTCTGGACAGGAATGGGATTTACCCCCTGATGAACTTTGCCACATCTCGGCCTCACCCTGTCCCTCGAGCGTTGTCCTTGTCTCAAGAGCAGGTGGAGACGGTGAAAACACCGACTCCTGAACCCCAGGAGACCGAAACGAGGAAGGTTAGAAATCAAGATTTCACCTCAGCCATAAGGCTCTGTTTGATGCCAAATTGTGGCATATTTTGAAAAATGTGTTCATATGTGAAAGCATTGATAGCATAATTAATTAGGTCTGTCTGCAGCACTGTCGTAACATTTGCACTAGGTTGTTTTCCCAATTTTGCATTAGCAGTGTGGGGGTTAAGGGTCTTTGCTCAGACGCAAAGAGGCAGCCTTTGGGAGTGGGCTTGATCTCAGAACCTCTGGGACCAAAGCGCAATGCCCAAAGCACTAGGCCACCACTCCCCAATCGGTTTAAGTCCTCCAGTCTCCCAGTGGTAGTTGAAAATTCTGATTAAAAGCTCACAAAATCTAATATCAGTGTCTACATTATTAAAACTGATCAAACCAAGGGTCTGATGTCCCACTTGTATGAGTATTTATTGCAAAATTTTAAGATTTTAAAGACGCTGCTCATGGGTCCCCTCAACCCCATCAGTAAATATAGCACCAGACTCCTTTTTTTTTTTTTTAAGGGAATTTGAGTTGCATATAGAAAAACAGAAAGCTGCCTTTGGATTACCAGCAACCTGCATAATGCAAATTTGGAGGTGTATGCTGTTCTCCCCAGTTTTCCACAGGGAGTGTAGCACAAACTGATCTTGGCACTGCATTTAGTGGGTTGAAAATGGTTAATTTTAGCTGCTTGGTGAGTTTTGTCTTTGTTGGAGGCAAACCAGTTATCTATACCAGTGCTGCTAACTTTCTAAAGGTGGGGTGAAGTTTCAGCTTCGTCATAGTGAAAGCTTCGGCTGTCCTGCTTCAACACAAGAAGAGTTATGTCATGGATTGCCTACTATTGCTGCAATCACAAGGCAGGATTCGGATACACTGTTGAAATTCTAATAAACCACCTGTTTTCATGACGAGCGATTATGCTGATGTAACCCCAGAAGACATCTCTAAGACCCAGCAGAGACTATCTGGTTCTTAGTCTGGTCTAAATATTGTCTTGTTATGCTAAATACCATTTACCCACACTTAAAACAAACAGTGCCTAAGTAATGCTAAAAATAACACATTTTTTCTCTCTTTAAACTCTGATAGTACTTGAATGTGTGGATCTTTTTATGATGAACATTATGATATTCTGTGTCTGTCATATATATCCACATTTTATGACGCATTTATGTATGCAGGTTATTCAGATGCACTGTAACTTGGAGTCAAATGAAGAAGGGACCAAAACTCATGTGAGTCTCACAGTACTGCAGGTACTTTGCCCATTCTATGCAACTCAGTTAAGTTCCTTATTCATAAACCATACTGGGCTGTTGTCATTTTTGTTCTTACTGGCTTATATACATTTCTTGGTTTAATTTTGATATTTTTTTCCCCAGCTCTCATTGTTTCTGAAGATGGATGACAAACTCCATCGACAGCTTAGCTGTGACATATTTCCAAGTAAGTTTAAACGTGTCTTTGTATGGGAAATAAAAACTGACCTTAATGAACCAAATGAGAACAATCTACCCTTAATTAGGTACTTCTATCATTTTTTTGAAGTCATAGATTAAGCTTTTTATTACGTTTTTGTACATTAAAAGTAAGACATTTATGAGGAAATTTTAAATCTGTAGAGTTGGACTAATTTATATTACGGTACTAATGTTGTTTTTTTGAAAAAAGAAATAAAGATAAGGAAAAATGCTAAGAAATGTCATCAAGAAATGCATGAAATGGTTAAAAGTTCTACATTCTTTACAATGTAATATTTTTATGTTTTTTTGTTCTGTTAATTTATTATTTCTCAGTTCATCTAAAAAATGTAGTTTTAGCATTAAGAAATTGTTGCTTGTTGACTTATTTCATGCCAAACTGACATTTTTTTAAGAAACTGATCAGTTATAAAGACAGTTTTACTAATTTGAAATATTGCATTTTAGCCTAAGCAAAGTGAATACCACAGAATGAACTTGGCAAACAGCTAATTCGAGGAAGATACATTTTTAGGTCTTGTCATGTCAGAGTAGTTCCTTAGATGCTGACACTTCTACCCCTCCCTTTTTTTTTCTTTTTTGCTCATTGCTAATTATGAACTGTATAGAATTCTATTTAATATTCCTAAAATGTCCTGTGAAACTTTCAGCGGACACCCCAAAAGACCTTGCAAGTGAACTCGTCCACTACGCCTTCATAAACGAGGTACAGGAAAGCTTTTAATTGAATTCCTTTTTTTGTGTCTATAGGGATACATCTCTTTGAAAAATGGTATATATATATCTTTGTTTTTTTCTCTGGTGTTAGATGCTGTTTAGCTGAAAGGATTTTTCTTTCCAACATATTTTCATGTTGTTAACTCTGGTTTGATGTTTAACCATAGCAACCATTGCAAGCTGTTTTTTTTTTTTTAGACCAGGTAGAAGTTTATTAATATCTCTAAACTACTTTCGGAAGTTAAAAAGGAGGCACCGAAGATGCAGAGCAGAAGCAATAAGAAGAAATGGGAAATACAAGTCGTCTCTTCTATCAATCATTATGGGCAATGGGAGATCCTTGGGAAACAAGTTAGAAGATCTCCAGGTTCTAGCAAGAACTCAGCCGAGATATCAAAAAAGCACCATTATGAGTTCAACTGAAACATGGCTGCAGGATCATGTCCCTGACTCCCGAGTCCCACTGCCAGGCTGTCTGATCATATGAGCAAAGATTTAAAGAAGGCTTGAAAATTCTAGGAAGGTGGGTTTGCATTGCTTGGGAACAAGAGATGGTGTTACCCAGGACCTGTTACTGTGAAGAATCTTGACTGCAACCCAGATTTAGAACTGCTAGTAGTTGGTTTCCCTCCATAGCGTTTACCTTTTCTTTTGGTAACTGTAACCCTTGGGAAATTGGATCACAATATTGTTTTTCATTGATTAAAGTATAAGCCCTTTTTTATAAGCCCTTAATGTAATCTGCATGAAGGAGAACCCTATGAAGATGATCACAGGAAGCTGAAGTGTCCTAGAGAGACTCTTGGTCCACCTTTGCAAGCAAATAACTATTGCAACCCCTGCACTTATTACCATACAGTTGGAGTTGAAGGTGCCATCATATATCTACTTCAATAACTCCTCTGTCATTTAGACAAGACAGACACCACTGTGAGAAACGTTTTCTTTGATTTCTTCAGTGCGTTTGACAAGATACCACCTGATTTACTTCTTAAGAAGCTCTAAGATTCAGGTGGAAAGCATCAACAATTGCCTGGATGGAAGACTACCTCATGAACAAACAGTTAATTGTCATCTGTATAAAGCACAAACTAGGTGTTCAGCAGGACAGGCAACAGTACTCTCATCATTCCGTTTTACTCTGTACACGTCTGACTTCCAGTACCAGATAGAGTCCTGATATTTGCTGGAATACTCAGATGACTCTACAGCCGTTGTGTTCATCAAAGATGGAGAAGAAGCTGAGTACAGAGAGCTGGTGAACCGCTTTGTGGCATGGTGTGGAAACAATCATCCGATCCTGAATTTCAACAAAACAAGGGAGACGATTGTAGATTTCCGAACAAAAATGTCAAATGCTATTTACGTCATGGGTCAAGATAGGGAGGTGATGGAGGAATATAAATACCTCTATTTACCTGAACAACAAACTCGACTTGAGGCTCAACTGTGAATTCGTCTACATCAAGGGACCGAGCAGATTTTACTTCATAAGGAAGCTTCGGTGTTTGCAGGACAATGCTGCATATCTTCTATTCGTCTGTTGTGGAGAGTGGGATCTCTTCTGCCTTCATGTGCTTTGGTAACAGCTTCAGACCAGATGACTTAAAGCTAATAAAGAAGGCCAGCTATGTACAGGGAACACCACTAGAACCTCTGGAGATGATTTCAAAAAGAATTATTCATAAAATGAAGGACATTATGAAAAATAGTGAACATACTCTTGGAAAAAAAATTTTAAAAACCAGAAGACTATCTTCAGTTACCGGCTTCTGCAGAACAAATGACAGAAGACAGACTTCCCTAGAAGCTCCTTCTTGCCTACAACTATCACTGTATACACCAACTCGTTGAAGAAATACCCCTGCATCTCTAGAATATTTAATTTCCCTTTTGAATCTATTGATTTTATAATTTAACTGAAATGTTTGTGGTCTTTCTGTGACATCTCATTCAGATTTTAGTCAAGACTTTGACAAGGCCATTACAAACCTACAATGATCATTTTGAGAACATTGTTTTACTGCATTACTCAATCGATTGTGACCTCCTGAGTGAATTTTTAAAGCTCCTTTAAAGTAATTTAGTCCAACCACTCCTGGCAAGGTTCATCTCAGTTTGCATAATGGCTCCAGTGGTTCGCTGGTATCCCAAAGCCTTAGTGGTTGGTTTGAAACCCTTCACAAACTGTTCTTTTCTATCATTTGGGACATGTCGTATTGCTTTGTGAAATCTTTTGCCCTTCTCCAATTTGTCAGACATGTCTTATACAAAAGAGTTTTTCTGGATTCTACAGGTCAGGCAATTATTGTACATTGATGTTGTTGGTAAAATTTCACCAATTTCACTTTAGGAGAGCAAATACAATTTTCACAGAACTACAAATGGTAAACGTAATTATTAAACATTTAAAAACGTAAGAAAAATTTAATTCATACAGATCAAACGGATCATACAGTCAAATTGATTCAAAGTTTTCTATCTAAGGAAAACCAGTTGATTGCATCGACTCATTGACTCGAATGCAATCCCTCACACTAAGCATGCTTGTAGCAACAGTGGAGAGGAAAAACTCCCTTTGTACAGGAAGAAACCTCCAGCAGAACCAGGCTCAGTGTGAGCAGCCATCTACCGAGGCCAACTGGGGTTCAAGGAGACAGAAGCAGAGGTTGAAAAGAGAAATTGTAAAAGGCAGCCCGTCCAGGAAACACACAGCCAGGCAGACAATGAAGAGAGCACATCCAGCCAGTCACAGTCAGAGAAACAGGACTACACTGAAAACGGGCTGATCTCCAACATCTATAAACAAAGGTGTTGATGGCAGCCGCACAGCTGATATTTCTCTCCATGATGGAGGAACATACGAGGCGAAGCTAATATGAGAAAAAGCAGAGAGAGAATAACATTCGAGATTAAACTAACAGATTCTGCAGAGTAGGAGAATAGAGATAGTGTGGTTGTTTTATGCTGCAGTATTTGGTTTTAATCCAGTTCTAGTCATAACATTTTTCCCCTAAAGAGGAGAAAGAAGTGGAGTTTAAATCTTTTTATTAGCAGACTTTACATGGCACTTAGTTCAAAGCATAGGTGCATGATCTCAAGAACATTTTAAAACCTCTGGCTCATAATATTAGGTTATAATTTACCAGATAAAGTTATATTCCTTCTTTAATTGGATTGTTTTATTTTAGACAGACTTGAATTTTGCTGTTGCTTAGGCATACTGCTCTATTATTAGCATTATCCGATCTTATCGCTGATTTAAACGGGTATGTATGATTATGTGCAGGAGGACAGCGAGAAAGTGGCCTCGTTCCTGGAGGACTCCATTACCCGACACCGGGTCCGAGCGCTGGCCGCTGGGAGCAATCAGTGATGGCGGGAGTCATGACAGCAGCTGGGCCTGAAGGATGAGGCCCCATGGCGTATTGACTGCACAGGTGGAGAACGAGAGGGAAGCAAACAGCTGGGGAAGACATTGCAGTGGATCCCTAACGGGACAAAGGACGAAAGCTAAAAGGCTCTGAAAGTCAGCAAATCATCCCAGTTAGAAAGAAACAGCAGCGAGAGTGAAACTGAAGGTGCTGCTGGTGGGAGGATTATAGGCCTCATAGGCTCCACAGAGCAGGGGAAGATCCACAGAGTCCCTGCCTGAAAGGGCTACAATGCCTTAAATTATATCCATAAAATCATTTCTCAATAACACTGCTGAGATTGTGTTTTACTTGCAGATACAGCAACTAACGTTAGTGTAATACATTGTACTGCTCCATCCCTCCTTGCGCTCCTGTGCAATAAGTCACACACAGTCTGTGATTTGCTAAAGCCTCCTTTCTTCTCAAGCCTTCAGTTTATCACAGTTTTTAAGAACTGGATATTCCATCCTACATGCACTGTTATTAATACTCATTCAGTTATTTATTTCTACACCCTAACTGTGAACCGCAGAAACATTGCACAACTCATTTTTCTTCTTTTATTTTATCCTTTTCACAAGCAAAATTACCCTCACCCCCTTTTTTTTTTTGCACTCCTAAGTTACAGGCTAGTTATCACACATCTTAAAATGCCACGTCTTATTGCACCTAGAACTTAAGCTATGAGATGACGCCTTCTCCGGTCTTAAAAGGTTTCCCCGTGAACGTGTTCTGAAAGCCAAAGACCTGCAAAGTGCCTGATGTGGCAATGCAATGGCATCGTACCCAACTTATAAAATTCTGGAAGAAATCCATCATGGTTGGTTTCATTCTTCAAAAACATGCTTACATTTCTTTGTCTGGAATCTATAAAGTCCACTTGTGTAAAATTGCAGTGGAATTTGACTCTTAATAATTTCACTAAGCTGAAGCATGTAGTTATTGGACATAATGACGGGATCATTTTGCTCTTGGCTGCATGAACGACATAAATATTGTTGGGTATTAGCATTTAAAGAGAAGACATTGCCATATTGTTAATACATTTTATTGTTCTATAGTTATTTTATTGAAATTGTTTTGTAAATATTCTAAGGGATGATTAAGGCAAATGCCACCCTCTTAGAAACTGGATTATTAAGTTTTGTTTGCTGTATTTGTGCTTTATAACCAGTGGTGTTTTGATCAAGAATGTAGCTCATTGCAATAAGATACTTATGCTCTCTAAACTCAAATTTATAATTTTTTTGTTTGCTTAAAAACTGTTTGGTCCCCAAAATCCAGTTTTTTTTTTTGTTTATTTCTAAAGACTTCAGGGCTTTGAGGTTAAAAAAAAAGTTCTGAATTTAGAGGTTTTTTTTCATATCTGGATAAGGATTGAGAACATAATTAATAATTTGGAAAAGTCGGATTTCTAGGCTCTATTCCCAACCTAATGTTGTAAAACTGTATGCTTCCTTCCTTCCTTCCTTCCTTCCTTCCTTCCTTCCTTCCTTCCTTCCTTC